ACGATGTATATGATGTTTATATGTATGTGTGTGTATATATATATATATATATATATATATGATGACAAATTTCCGCTGTGTTATATTTGTTGAAAATCATTTAATGAAAATGAATTGGGTTGAGTTTATTTCTGTGACATCCCGTTTTGGTATGAATACTCTGATAATTGTTTATTTTAATTGCATTTATGTTATTTTGGAGAACGGGGTGTTACAGTATGTACCTCCCCCGCCATATAAGTCTCCCATCATATTTCTGCAAAGATTAGTGAAACCCAAGATAGAAGACCATTTTAAGAAGATTTTAAAAGTTTTGAAAAAGTTATATATCAACATCCCTTTCAATAAGGTGTTGTCACATATGCCATCTTATGCCACATATCTTAAGGAAATCATATCAAACAAGCAGACACTGGAAGATACCTATATTGCAGTGTTAACTCAAGAGTGCAATGCTACCATCTAAAATAAGTTTCCTTGAAAATTAAAAGATTATGGGACCTTATTCAATTCCCTATGTTATAGGCCTAATGAGTTTCGAAAAAGATTTGTGTGATCTCGTGGCAAATGTGAGTTTAATGCGTTTGACCGTCTATGAGAAACTAGACCTGGAAGGTATGAAGCCAACTAGAACGACTCTACAGTTGGTAGATAAATCAGTCAAATGTCTTGTAGTAATTGCAAAGGATGTGCATTTAAAGATTGGGGAAATGGTCATCTCTACATACTTTGTTGTGATGGATATATGGGAAGACTCTCAAATCCCAATTCTTCTAGGTAGACCCTTCTTTGCCATAGCCAGAGTAGTTATAGAAATTAAGCGTGTGAACCTCACATTAGAAGTAGGGGATAAAAATATCGAGTTGTTATTGTCCAAACTTATAAAAAAGACCTACTTTTAAGAACTCTTGTTGTAAATTCGACATAGTTGCAAATGTTGATGAGTCCCCTCTAAACAAGTCCCCCTTAATATAGAAAAGACACACCTAATGAGTGATATTTTCCAGGATAGAAAAGAAGCAGAAACTTATGAGAATGTATTATATGGAAGCCCTGCTACTTAATACTAGAACTTTAAGAAAGAAGGTTTAACTCTAGCACATGGGACAATTGACAAGGTGAAAATGAAATCTCTACCACCCAACCTCAGGTACAAGCCTCCTCATAAAAGAAAGAAAGAAAAATGGAAAGTACATAGGAGTTGGATCGAGATGTTCAAATGGAGCCCTAAGGCCGGTGGGTATGATGTTGAGCATAATGTCAATAATATAAGTCTGAATGAGGCACCCTCTTGATTCAGATGGCCAAGCAAGTTGTGCTGCCAAAGTTAAATGAAGTGATGCGTGAGAGGTAACCAACAGGTTTTTAATTTAAATTTTTTTATTTTGTTGTTTGAATTTTCATAAAATAAAGATATCGATTACTTTACAATTATCAATTGCATGCAGGCGTGAATCTTCGGGTTATACCTTTCCTCCTTCTCATGCTTTTATCTCAATACATTGCAGACAATATAAAATTTAAGTGTGTGGGGGAAGCTTTCGTGTTTTCATATATTATATTTACTTGACTTTTTAGTTTAATTTACTTGCTTTCTAGATTTGGATTTCCATGGTTTTTAATCTAGATCATTTAATTTTTATTGTTAATTAGTATTATTGAGTCTTTGCATGTGATGTCAAGTCTTTTATGCGTATGTTTCTGCAATGTCATTAGTTTTTCTTAATTATTGAGTTCACCAAATTGCTTTTGAAAAGGCTTAGCATCGCAAACCACTTTAAAATTATATAGGTTACAAAGGAAGAGAGACTATGATCTTGACAATAGAAAATAACCTTCATCTGTTTACACCAGTTCTCAAAATTCTGACCCTTCAGAATTAGGAGATTTACTAGAAAATGTTTGTTCGGATGATTCATCATCATCGTGTTCTGCTTCCTACAAATCGCTCAATCAGTGCTCTAGATATCAGATGTTGAAAATACGTTTGATTCCTCCTCAAGAGTTTCACCAAAACATGATGAATTCTGGAATCAAATCTTGATGAACAAGAATCAATCTTTTTGATTAATTACTCCTCTTGTTCTTCACTCTTCACTCAAGTGAATCAACCACTCTTGGTTGCAAAATTATATCGATGCATAATTAATAGATGAAGGAAGAAAAGGAAACCGAATTTAGGAAAGAAAAGTTTAAGGTTTAAACGAAAGAATGAAGAAGAAGAACTTGTGAAATTCTTTATAGTTTCTCTCTGCTCTCAACTTTGTAATCTGCAATATTCACTTTTTAAGTTACAATCAATAATAGGATACCTCCCTATTTATAGATTGAGATTGCTTGCAACCCAAGCAATATCTTAACAAACTAACTTAGCTAAAACACAAACAAAATTAAGTATAATATTTTCGACAGCTAATCTAATTCAACACACATAGGCATTTCGATATTTCCTTATCTCTGTCGAGCAACCTGCATCAACACAAGAAATTACAAATTAACAGTTTTGCACCTCTTTAGAGTTGTCTGGATAGGAAACTTTTTACCATTACAATAAATTTTTATATATAAAGACTTTACATCAAATCATAACAAACCTTTCAAAAAAAAAAAAGAGTCCTATAAACATACAAAATAGCTATTATGATCAGAGTCATCAGTTGTGTCTTAGTAAATGTCTTAGTAAGTGTTTGTTTAACGTCAATCATTCATTTTCTCAAGGTGGCATTGAATATGCCTTGTCAATTTATCTTTCACACACCACCTCATAAGATGAAGGGTCCGTTTGTTTTGACTTTTTTTAAAGATAATTTTTATAATGTAATATAATTTTTTGTAAAAACATTTATAAAGAAACTTTTCATGAAAACTTCAAATAAAAAATTTAGTTTGAATAGTTATTCTTAAAATGTTAGTTTAGATATTTCATCATTTTATTTGAAAAACATTTGGATATCAAAATTTCAAAAAAAAATCACTTAATTTTAAAGCTATTTCAAATAGATTTTCATAAAAATTATTTTTGAGATACAACATTTTGAAAAAATTACAATTTTGATTATCTTTTGATCTTTAATAATGTATGTTTATTCTATAAGATGTCGAAATTAGTCTTTTAATTTAGAAAAAATGAATATTAAAAAAGTTTTAATATTTTAAAAAAACTATTTTGTAAAATCTATTTTTAAAAATACAAAAAATAAATTCATTTTTTTAAAGCTAAAATAAACAGGTCCGAAATAGGATTGAGAGCTTCAAATAGATTAAATTCAATTTTTTCATCGTGAAATCTCACAATGATACTTTCTTTATAAACATTAATTTTGAACCTTGCTTGCCTAATGAGTTATGTGCAGTGTTTCATCCAGTGTTTTAAAAATCGCACCGGTCGAATCGGTTGGACCGAGAACCGGAACACTAGTCAGTCTGGTTCAATTGGGGGATCGGTCTCGTCATTGAACCGGTACGAACCGGTGTGAATCGGGAAAACCGAAAAAACCGGCAGTTTAATTGTTTTTTTTACTTTATTTTTAAAAACTTTTTTTTTAAACTTTGTTTTTTAATATACTTAGTAGTGTATTACTTAAATAGCATTCTCACATAAAAAATTTTCGTTCGTGACAAATAACCGACTTTATTGGCTATTTGTTATTTTTACTAATACATTTTCCTAAATAGTTTGTAACTTTGTAGTTAGTAACAAATTAGTTACCTTATTATTTTAACTTTTTAGATTGTTATATATTTTATCTTTTTATATTTTGTCACTGCTAATAATTTTAATTAATTATAATTTATAATTAATTATATTTAGTGTCAAAATATTAACAATAGAAAAAGGCATGTATTTTGTTGAAAGGGAAATTGAAATAGCATAAACATATTGAATTTTATTTGGTTTTCTTTTTAGGAGAATCATATTTTACTTACAAATAGTTACCTCTTATTTCATAATAATCAATAAATGATATCATTGATGGGGAAGCGGTTGCAATTAGACTTTGTTTGCAATTAGATTTTATGATTTTGTATTATTTTGTTATGTGTGATACATTTGTTTAAAATTTGAATTTAAATTATGAACTTGTGAATTTATGATATGATATTTTCAAAAAATTTAAGTACTAGTTATATTTTTTTAGAAACTGAATCATCTGATTCGACCGATTTTATATCTATATAATGACAAGTCTATTCAATCAAGTTATCCGGTTTAATCCGGTTTAGTCATGCGGTTCGACTAGTGACCCAATAGATCGACCGATAAACCATCGACCTAATATCCTCACCGGTTCGATAACCGGTTCGATTTTTAAAACATTGGTTTCATCCCGTTTAACATCCATCATTCCATGTGATTATAGAATTATAATTTTTTTGGGCGAAGGATTTTCTTTCTTTAACAAATACTAATATTGATTTTTCTTTTGAAAATAAAATATAAATTAGATATAAGAGCAAATGTAGATAGAAATAGGAAAAATAATTGTTGTGTACTTTGTTCACTTAAATATATTCATCCTTGTTATAAAATAGTCTACGTATATAAGTATATAGATAGAACATGTGTTCCATAAAATAAATCATTTGTATAATTTTTTTATCATAAATAGATTTTTAAGAAAAATGGTATTAAAATATATATCTAATTAATTTCTTGAATTAATTTATGATTCTATTTCTCAAAGATGAAAAAAAAAGTGTTTACTTTCATGTGAGATTATATCATTTCCAAGACAATTGAAACCTTTCAAACAAATTTTGTTTGTTTTAAAAGTAAGTTTCACACAAAACTAAATAAAACATATATTGATCATAAATACCAACGTATGCTCTTAATGTAGCAAAATCTAAAAATAAATCTGTTAAAATATCCAATTAATTTTTCTATTCTAAGCCATGTTTTCCATTTTTTAAGCTTAACCGTAACTTATATAATCTATATAAATTAAGGATCTTCTTCCTCTTTAGTCAGGATAACTTCTTTCCTAACCTAAAAAGACATGGCCTTCCTAGATTTGATGAATTCCGCTGCTTTAACCTTTTGTGTTATGGTTTTAGCAGTTTATAGTCATCAAACCCAGGCTTTAGGTCGTGACTTTTTAGGTAAGGGAAAGTCTAAACCTGTCGTAGAAGGTTTATGTGCTTCTTCAATCGCTATTCATGGCTATAAATGTCAAGAAATTGAAGTAAGAAAATTTTGAATTATGAATTAGCCGCTCAATGCTTTAATTTGTTGATAGCCACAAAATTAATTATAAACAATCTACAATTAATATTTTTTAGGTTACAACTAGAGATGGATACATTCTTAGCATTCAAAGGATTTTAGAAGGTCGAGTTAAGGTTGATGGTAATGTCACTAAGGAGCCTGTGATTGTACAACATGGAGTTTTGGTGGTAAGTGAAATCAATCCATCAATTATATATATTTTTTGATTCATATATAGTTTCATTTTGAGATATGGTTGTATGTAGGATGGAGCAACATGGTTTATGAACAGTCCAGAACAAAATTTGCCAATGATTCTTGCTGATAATGGCTTTGATGTTTGGGTTGTTAATACTAGAGGAACCAAATATAGTCGCAAACACACCATCCTAGATGCCTCCAGTCAGGTTTTTTTTTTTTTACCTCAAAATAAAAATAAATAAATTATTTTGATGTTTTAACTAATTAAAATTGATTTCTTTTTTATGTAAAAAATGTAGGAATATTGGTATTGGTCTTGGGATGCATTGGTTGCTTATGAACTGCCGGCTGTTTTTGATTATGTCTCAAAGGAAACAAGACAGAAGATACATTATGTTGGACATTCTATGGTAATGTATCACATAAATAACATTTATTATCTATTAAAAATTTAAAATAACTTATGATACTAATAATTTGAATTTGTTTCGCAGGGAACATTGACAGCTTTGGTATCATTGGCAGAAGGTAAATGGAAAAATCAGATAAAATCAGTAGCATTGTTGAGTCCAGTCGCATATTTGAAACGAATGACAACAGCAATTGGAGCTATTGCTGCAAGATCCTTACTCGCCGAGGTAGATAATCGGATCAATATTAATATTAACAACTCTGATTATTTTCGGATTTGATAAAACAAAAGTGTTTTGATAATGGATTAAGATAGTTGATTATAGTATGGATGAATTTCTTATTTGAATTACTTCTTTTGTTTTGTCGAACAGGGTTTTAGTTTTATGCACATTGCCGAATTCGATCCCAAAGGGTAAGAATATTGAAATTACAATTTTAATTCTCGTATTTTAAAATATATATATATTACTATTCTTTACATAATTTAATATTAGTCTCTTTTCAACATATTTTTTAGGACTCCTGTAACTGGTTTTATTCAGGATATTTGTGTTGAATCTGGACTAAACTGTAATAGCCTGTTTACTTTAATAACAGGTTTGAATTTTTTTCCTTTTTAAAATTTAAATTTAAATTGATACAATTTTACATGATATATATTTTTATTGTCCTATTTTAGGTGAGAATTGTTGCTTAGAAAAATCAGCTTTTGATGAGTTCATGAAAATTGAACCACAATCATCATCAACAAGAACCCTTTTTCATTTAGCTCAGAGTAAGATTTTCACATCTAATTAACCATTAACATTACACTTAATTCAATCAATTTTAAGATTTAATTATATAATGCATGTTTTTTAATAGCAAAAGAAAAATCATATATAATTATAATAAATATTTTGTTTTAAATTTATGCAGTTGTTCGAAGTGATACATTGTCAAAATTCGACTTCGAGAGACCACACTTAAACTTGTTGTATTATGGACGACTAAGACCTCCGACCTACGACCTCTCGAAAATTCCAAACAACATTCCAATTTTCATGAGCTACGGTGGTAAAGACGCACTTTCTGATGTCGCCGATGTTCAGAAGCTGTTAAATGACCACTTTCAGAACCATGACAAAGACAAGCTTAGTGTTCAATTCATTGAAAACTATGCTCATGGTGACTACATGTTTGCTACGAATGCCCATGAACTAGTATACAATAATGTTACATCTTTCTTCAAACGTAAATTTTGAGGTGTTCAATTTCTCTAATTTTTCCAATAGCAATTTTGGAAAGTGTTGTAAAATTGCTGTATGTGGGAAATTAGCTTTGCTATCACTAAATTTAATGTAAGTTTTTGTCTAGTGATGGTAATAATATTTAGGTTTTACTAGGAAGAGTGTAGTCAAATGCTATGAATTGGGGTGTTGAATGATTGTTAAAATGAGGTATGAGATTTCATCTATGTTGTTAGAAAATTCATAATCCTCTATTAGAAATACTATATATTAAAATTATGTGCATTTAGTTAACTATATATTTTTAATACGTGACTCATGAAAACTTTGTTTAAAAGCTAAGCTTTAATAATTTTTATACCAACCTGAATATACTTTGAAGCCAATCCAAACACTGAAAAAAAAAGTTCTAGATGACCAAACTACTTTGTTGATATTTTATTAATCAAAAAGTTACTTTGAAAAGAATTCAGAATTTAATATTTTTTGTATGGAAGTGATTTTTTTGGTCTTGCTTATAAATATATGGATGAATTGATAGAAATATTCAAACAAAAATTAATCTCTAAGAGAGTGGTATAGCAAGAAGAAGAAAAAAAAGAGAGTAAAACATGGGGTGCAAGAACATGATTTTGTTGGTGCTAATAGCAACTTTGATCACAAAAGAGGTTTTAGCAACACAACATGTTGTTGGTGGAAACCAAGGTTGGGATCCATCCTCAGATTTTGATTCATGGAGTTCAAGCCAAACATTCAAAGTTGGAGATCAACTTGGTATGTTTCTAATCCAAGAAAAAAATATTCATCCTATCAAATTAACTTTTTTATCAAGATTTTAAATTCGGGTCATAATTGTATAGGTTCAATTCCGATCAAAGTTTTATAAAAATGTTATCAGAAATTGCAGTTGTAAATAGAACGATGTTGAGATTTTCAATGTTTTTCGCATTTCAACTGTAGTAATATCATGTATCTGAATAGTTCAACCGACTTAAATAAAATATTAAAAAATAAATAAATAATCGAAACTTAAACCTCGATTAAGGAGAAAATACTAACATGATAATTAACGATTCTCTATAAAATGTGATGAATGTCTTTATTTTATTTATTAATGTTTTTGCAGTTTTCAAATACTCTTCAATGCATAGTGTGGTTGAACTAGGCAATGAAAGTGCCTACACAAAATGTGATATTAGCACCTCCCTAAACTCCTTAAGCAGTGGAAAAGATGTTGTGAAATTGGACAAACCAGGTACAAGGTACTTCACATGTGGTACTTTAGGACATTGTGGTCAAGGCATGAAGGTGAAGATCAAAATTGTGAAAGGGAATGGATCTTCTTCCTCTGTATCATCACCGTCGTCGTCGCCATCGTCGTCTTCTACTTCTAGTGATGCATCTTCAGCTTCACATTACTTTGCATCTCTTGTGCTCATTGTGACAATATCTTTTGTCACAATGATTTCTTTGTTTTAATTAATCATATTAAGTTGAGTTTATATAATATAATGTCATATTCTATAAATATGTAACATTGTTGAATAAAAGACTGAGAAGAGACATACTTTATATATAGATTTTTAAGTTTTTTTTCACAAGGTGTCATAGTTATCATAGAGCAACAATGATTCCAATGATAGAGCAACAAGAACAATGTCATAGTTAACATGATATGGATGGCCAATGATATAGCAACATTATGATGGCCAATGTGTACTAACTGGCCTTCCAATGCAATACATCTCCAATGCTTTTAATTATCTAGGAGAGCAAATCTTACACTTGTTATATTTATTCAATTACATTGGCCATCATAGTTAAATTTGAAATATGGTAAATCATTTGCATCATAGATTTCTTAGATTTTATTTTAATTGTGTATGTGACAATGTGAGTGTTGTAAAGTCAAGAATATCGAGTTAATTTCTAATGATAAAAAAATTGTGAAAGTAAAATGTGATCTTATTGTTTAAAATGAGAGAAAAACATGTGAGACGTTAAGATATAACAAGTTCGAGTGGTTAGAGATTACATGTTAACCTTTCTAGTGAAATTGTCCCTTTTTTCTTTTTAGAAATCGGATATTCTTACGCATAATTACAGACTCTAATTCCTCGAGTCAAATAAGATTGCAATGAGTGGCAAAACTCTCTCTAAAAAAATTTAATATTAATGTATGCTTAGGGATAAAAATTGCACATTATTTGAATGAGATATATGCTTAAAATACTCTAACGTCAAATGTGTCTATTTTCTGTTCATCGCTATTAAAAGTTAACTTCTATGCATGTGCACGTTGACAATATAAAACTTCTTAAACGAACACTCGATTAAAATAAAACTTGTTTTAACTGGGCCAATGTCAAATCATCATAAAACCATGTGATTCGAATCTCAAGAGAAGAGATATATTAAGGAATATTTACGCGCTAAAAGGCACAAATGACTCTAAGGCTATGTTTGGATATCATAAAATTAATTGAGCAAAATTGAGAAGAGCGGAGTGGGAGAGAGCTGAATAGAGCGGGGCGAAACGAATGTCCCATTCCATTGTTTGGAAATTTTAGAACAGGATAAGATAAGTTGTTCATTTTGCCCAAATTGGAGGGAGGAAATATGATGGTAAGTGATGGAATGGAATGGAATGGAATCCATACCATTCCATCCTGCTCCGCTCCATCAGATTTTAAATGATCCAAACAATGTAATATCATTCCATTTCATCTCATTCCACTCCGCTCCATCTGATTCCATCAACATAAACAAAGCTTGAGAGTATCTCCAATGGTGCAATATATTTTTGGATTTTTTGTGGAACCTATTAAATCACATAATCTTGAAGTAATTCATCCAATTTCACTTCAATGATACAACTCTAAAGAACCCATATTGCATTACTTTGTTGGACAAGAAAGAATGTTAAGGATTGACTCATGGTGATCGATTCCAAGTACATTTTCAATTGCATTACTTAGTGGCCCATATTGGAGGAGTTAGGTGTGGTGTCATCAAGGATCCAATTAAAGTGAAGTACCACACTAAAAAATACAACGTAAAGGTTATAAACGCTTACTTTGAGGTATGTAACTCAGGTTTTCTTGTGTTACTAGAGAAAATTGAGGGGGAAAGAGAAACCTTGGAATTCCAATCAAAGAATTCATGCTTAATTGGGTCGTATGCGTAAACCTGACTGACTTTGATATTTTCCTAGACTTGTGGCCATAAGAGAGGAAGAATTTCTCTTGTAGTAAAAACAAATAGAGACAAATATGTTCTATGGATAATTTTAGATGAGGATCGATAGTCGAAGATTGTCAAGATCGAAGTCAATCTACCCATGAAGGAAAAAGATCGGCTCACATGGTGTTTGTAGGAAAATACATATATGTTCACTTGGACCAGTAAGGGAATGTCTGGAATCAAATCCTAGTTTTCCATCCATTTATTCTCTCTTTGGAAGAAACACCCTTACGTGACCCAAACGCCACAAATATCATTTTCCAAAAAAAGCATAGGCCACTAAGAAGACAGCAGAAGGTCACTTAAAGGCTAATTTCTTGACTCAGGTAAGGTATATTGCTTGGCTATTGAATAATGTGCTTGTTAAGAAGTTGAACAACATATGACTAATGTGTGTTAACTACTCGAATTTCAACAAAGCTTGTCCCAAATATGACTATCATCTCCCTAACATAGATGAATTGAAAGACAAGTCGTATGGCTTCAAGATCCTATCTTTCATGGATATTTATTTAAGTTGTAATAAGATACTTATGGACCCTAAGGATTAAGCAAAACATCTTTTATAACTGAGGTGACATACCAATGGATGGGGATTAATATCTTCAAAGATCAAATTGAAGACATGTTAAAGGTCGCTACTTCCTTTTCATTTAAACCATCCCTCAGATCGTGGGAGACACCTAGGGTACCTTAGGTGTGTTAAATACGGACGTAAAATGGTCTAAAACTGAGGATCGAATAGACCTCCAAATAAAATATTTTTCAAAAGTTTTTCTAAAATCAAATTTTAAAATGTGAGGGATAGGAAAAATGTTTTTTAAAAGATATTATTCAATTAAATTGATAAATAGATGTATTCATCGATAAAAAAGATGGTAATGATTCAATTAATAAACAATATGGTAATTAATCTAATTGGAATCAAACACATATGTTTGAATAGAATCTAATTAATTAGCACAACAATCTAGAATTACAGTTTTCCAAATTAATCACCAAAAAGAAATGTTTAGCATATTATATCTAATACAAACCTAACCTACAACATTAAATCGCTATGAGCAACAAATCTAATCACATGAAAACTAGAAAATAATTAAAATATAAGAACATGCAAATTTAATACAAAAATTAAAAGAGATAATGGATAGATAAAGTGTACACTAATATTTATATTGGATTGGTGTGTTGTCCTCACTTGCACTTAGTCCATTTTACAATGGCAAGCCATCGGAAATGGTAAGTCTTCCACAAATAGAAATTTTACAAGTGTCTTTTGATACAATAAATAATCACAATCAAACTGAAAACTTAAAGCTAAATGCTAAGCAACATAGATCTAAATGTTAATTCTCATTCTGCTGTACACAACTCAGTAGGTTAAATTCTTCAAGATCTTCAATCTTGAATCAAACCACCATCTCGTAGCCAAAGCACTCCAAGATTTCGTCTACAACGATCTTCACTCGACCCTACTGAAATGTCCTTGTCCGAGTCTTTGAACTTGTTGTAGTATTTAGAAACTCCAAAATCTCTTGGACAATAAACTTTTTTTCCCTTTACTAGATGTCAATCTTTTGAAATCACAATCATAATTTAATTATTTAATAGGAAAATAAATAATTTTCATAAGAAGATTATAACATCTAATGAACCATTTCACAACTAGATCTCACACTCTCTTAGAGTTGAGTAACACTTACAAATTGTGATTTTGACTAGAGGTTGAAAACAAAATTTTTCATAAAAATCACACATAACACTTGATCAAAACCAAAATATCAATACCAGAAAAAGTTTTTCTTCAAGGTTAATTTAAGAGAGAAGGCTTGTGTCATTGACAAAACAATCAAGTTTTTCAAAGATTATGAAATTTATGTTTTAGAGAGATAAAATTTTGCTTTTATATTTTCTAGAGATAGGCCACTAAGATAGATTAAAATGGAATTTTGATTTGAATCAAATGCAAAAATAATGATTAAAATCTAGTGAGAGAATGATTTGAGCCAATATGAGAAAAACTAGATTTTAGCATGTTTGATTCGAGTCATAGGAAGTTGTAACTTAGTCACATGATTCAAGTTATACAAAAGATAAATTTGAGTCAAACTTCTAGAGAACAAATCAAAATTGAAAAACTTGTGTTTCATTTGAGTCAAACCAAAGTGTGAATTGAGTCGCACTTCTAGAGAGTAATCCAAAATTGAAAAATGTAGGTTTGATTCAAGTCAAATAATATCATGATTTGAGTCAAACACCTTTTGATTTGATTCAAAGGAAAGTGTGACTCGATTCATACATCCAGATCCAAAATATACTTCTCAAAACTTACTCATGATTCGATTCATGGGTTTTCATGACTCGAGCCATAACTCTAGAATCAAATTTTTAGAAAATAAGAACTTCATAATTCAAGTCGAGAATTTTCATAATTTCAAATCATGTCTGCAAGAGTTTCTTGATTCTAATCACTAATAACCTAATTTAAATCATCTTAAGTTGAATTTTAGTCAAAGCTCAAATTTATGCATGCAAAAGTCCTTTTAATAAGAATGACTCTTTATTGGACAAGAGACTTCAAGCCCAAGAAGGAGGGGGGGTGAATTGTGGTAGTCAAAATTCATAATTAAAATTAATGTTTTGTTACTTCAAAAATGAATTGTGTTAGTATTCTTAAATACTCTTTGAATGCTTTGAAATTTGAATTTTCAACACTGTGTGATGTATCAAATAGATCACTAGGAGAGGTAGTAATGCATAGGTGTGAAAAAAAAGATTCCTTATGACTTGGTCAACAAAAAGTTAACCTTCCATGGTTGACTTTGTTGATCAAAAGTCTACTTTTATAATGAATGTCCAGCTTCCCAAGGCACACAAAAATTGTCCATGGTTCACTCTTGAAATAAGGCTACCAAGGATTAGGTCAAAAATCAATTTTAAAAAGGTAACTTTGACCAAAAAGTTAACTCCAACCCAATAGCTTCTTTTCCAAGAAAACACATACCAAGAGGCCCTTATACCATTAGACGTTTCATAGGGATATCTTGATCCAATAGTATTCACAACATCTTATACAATAAGTGAGAATGAAAGCCAACCCTTATTACCTGAATATTAACCTATTGTTGAACCATATAATTAAAATTCAAGCATTATGGACCTTTTGACCAAGTAATGTTACATGTAGATGAAAATTAATGAATGACCTAAACTAAAATGGATGATTGAGGTAA